GCGCAGCCTCGTGCTGCAGCTCTGTGACCTGCTGTCGGGGCTGCGCGTGCACGGTGTTGTCTTCGAGGACGACTCGCGCGCGCCCGCCGTCGCGCCCATCCTCGACTTCCTGTCAGCCCAGACCTCGCTGCCCATCGTGGCCGTGCACGGCGGCGCCGCGCTCGTGCTCACGCCCAAGGTGCGCGCGACCGGAGGGGCGGGGCCAGTCGCGATGGGCGGGGCGTTGGATGGTTGGGTGGGGCTTAGGAAGGCGGGGACAGTCCTGGAGGTCAGCATCCAGGGTGGTGGTGGGAGCTGTTGGACAGAGATGGGGCTGATTTGGAGGGATGAGTTCTGCAAGGTGAGCAGGGCCTTCCAAAGGAGTCACCTAGAAGAAGGGTCAGAAAGGACAGTCAACAATGAGCAGGTCATGGGGAGGACATGGGCCCAGTCACTGCAAGAGAGCAACTAGCCAGCGAGAAGCAGGGACTAAGAATGAAAGAAGGGGGTAGATCTGGCATGAGCCAGGGGTGGAGTCAGTGGAAAGGAATGGGGTTCAGAAAAGGGTAAAAGATAGTGAGGAGGAGGAGCCAAGAAGGCAAGAAGAGGGAAGAAGAGAGAAGGGCAACATGGACAGGGTCTTGGGAGGAGATAGGCCAGATGAGCTGAGACTAGAAGTCTGTGAAGGAGGACAGAGCCATCCAGCGAATGGAGGAGTCTGAGAAATGAAGTGGTCATTAGAGGTAGGCTGACGAAGAGTAGAACCAGACCTCAAGGAAGTGAGTGTTGGGGAGGAACAGTCAGGGAGAACGTAGGGCCTAAGCTCTTTGTAAAAGGGCAGGTTCTAGACTGGAAGAAGGTTCTGGAAGTTGGGTTTGAGAAGGCTCAGACCAGGTGAGGTGTGGAAAATAGGAATCCAGAAGTTGGGTCTTGGAGAATGAAGGCCTTGCATAGAGGTGGGTACAGCCAGTGAAGGGTCAAAGGCAGAGCCGGCACAGGAGGGGAGAGGAGAGGAGAGGCCTCCGTCTCTCCAGAGAAGCACAGGAGTGGCCATTTGTAGTGGACTTCTGGTAGCAAAGAAGGAAAACGGACCAAGAATGGTCTGTGAACTGAAAAGGCGGAGCCCAACAAGGGGTGGGGCATTTAAGGGTGATGGAGCCACCTGAGTGTATGGAACCTAAATTGGCCAATTCCCAGAGGTGAGAACATTTGGCTTTGTGACTGGATCTCTATTGCATTCTGGGACTCATTCTCCTGTTCAGAGCTTTCTGGGAAGGACCTCTGTCCAACTTCCTTGTTCTCCTTGGCATGATGGTTTCCAGAGATTTCCAGGCAGATTTGTAGACCTTTTTTTTTCCTGGCTGCCATCTTTGTGAAATACCCAGAGTGGTGGTCCCTGGTTCCTCCATTGCTGCTACATGTGGCCCACTCTGTTTCACTGTCTGTTGGGCACTGTGGCCAGCTCAGTGCACATCTGTTGCCTTCAGGGGCATGTTTCCTCATTGTCTCTGGACAGAAGAAAGAGGAGTCATCACAGTGCCATCCATACCCTAGTGAATGCTGGGAACATGGTTTCCTTGCCACATGCCACCTACTGATGGGTGAGCCGCTCCACCCTGACTTCTTAGGTGTCCATCACATGCTGAGAGACCTCAGCTCCTCAGGACAGCTGCCCTGTCCTCTCCACTCATAACCACTGGCACATGCCTCAGGAGAAAGTTCACTTGCCATTCTCATTGCATAATAAGGTTCTTGAGAGCTGATTCTGTGCCAGGGCCATTTTAGGTTATGGAGAATAAAATTGGAGGGGGGGCAGGTCCCTGCCTTATGGAGCTTGGATTCTTATGAAGGAAACAGACACAACCAACCACAATAGTAAAATCTGTCCTGGAGGAGACTAACAGGATGTTGTAATGACTGAGGCTGGCAGGCTGGAAGGGCCTTGCTAAGGAGGTGACATCTGAGCTGGACCTGAGGGATGAGGAGGGGTGGGCTGAGGAGGTGGGGAAAGTGACCCTGGGAGGAACAACAGCTGGAGCAAAGCTCTTGAATTCAAAAGAAGCTTGGTGTGTTTGAGGAAGAGCAAGGAGGGAGTGTGGCTGGAGCCAATTGGAGGATTAGGAGGGCAGGAGATGAATCAGAGAGGCAGTAAGGGTCAGTTCATGCAGGGTCTTGTGGGCCACAGAAAGGACTTTGGCTTTGATTCTAAAGAAGAATCATTGGAAGGTTTTCAACAGAAAAGGGATGTGATCCAATTAATATTTTGAAATGATGACTCTGGCTGCTGTTTGGAGAATGAACTGGAAGATGCAAGAATGGAACAGAGATGGGCTCGAAAGCTATAGATGTCTAGGCAAGAGAGAAAGTGATGTCAATGAGGATTGTGACGGTGGCAGCAGTGAGGAGTAGACACCTGGGCTTATGGTGTGGACACAGAGCCAAGGAGACTGGGAGATGGCCTGGACGTGGGCATGAGGAAGAGATAGGGGAAAGGTGTCTCACGTTTGGGCCTGAGCCTTAGGGTGAGAAGGGAAGACAGGAAGCAGGTCAGGGGAGACAGGTTCAGAGGTCAAGAATTATGTGTTCGACATGATGATTTTAAGAAACTCTTGGAAATCCAAGGGAAGAAATTGATCAGAAAGGAGGATAGGTTTCCTGGAGCTCATGGGAGCCATTGAGACAGGACATGAGCCATTTCCAGCCATACCCAGTAAAGCTTTCTGCACTGGTGGAGATGGTCTATATCTGATGTGTCCAGTAGGCTAGCCATAGGCCATGTGTGGCTATTGAGCACTTGACGTGTGGTTAGTGCAAGTAGAGAACTAAATTTTAAGTTTTATTTAATTTTGATTAACTTAAATTTGAATAGCAAAACATTGTGGGAGGTAGTGTTTAAAACCATGGGTCTGAACCAAGCATGGTGACACACACTTATAATCTCAGCAAGTTAGGAGGCCAAGACAAGAGAATTACAAATTCAAGACCAGCCTGGGCAATTTAAGGAGACTCTGTCTCAATTTTTAAAAAATAAGTTAATTAAAAGGGCTGGGAATGTAACCTATTGGTAAAGTACCCAGTACTGAAAAAATACAATAAATAAATACATGGGTCTGAATGACCTAGCTAGCAAGCGAGGACAGAGAAGAGTATACCACAGGGGTACACCTATGTTTAGAATTCTGGCTGAGAAAAAGGTACCAGTAGAGACAAGGAAGGAAGGGGCAGAGAAGTAGGAGGAAAATTCAAAACAGGAAATTCATTGGGGAAATATAGTATCTTTACCACCTTCGCTGCATGCTGGGAGATGTAGTCTCCCTCATTGCAATCTTTCCCAGTGGATGTTGGGAGTTGTAGTTCCCGGGTGGATGGTAGGTATAATAATAACAGTGATGTTAGTTGCTGAAAGAGATAAACCCTCAGATCTCAGTGGCTCAAGGAAATAGGTTGCTTCTCATTCATATAAAATGCAAACACGTGGTCCTGATTGGGGCCACAGGATTGATTCTTCTTGTGGCTCTGTAATTCCTGAGGACTTCAGAGTTCTTTTCTGGGGCCTCTTCATCCACCCTCAGATAGGGAGGAAAATGAGGATCTCGGGACATAGTTTTTAAGGGTATGCTCAGAACTCAGTCATATAGTTAAAACTAACCTAGGACTAGCATTTGTCCCAGGAAGAAAAGTAAAGGATTTTGGTGAACAGCCAGTCAGTCTGCCATATTGAGAGCTATGACCCACCGCTGGCACTGGGAACTGTGATCTGCTTGTCTGTTGCTGGGAGATGAGGTCCCCACATCAGGAGGCCTGACATCCTTCCCATGCCCCACAGGAGAAGGGCTCCACCTTCCTTCAGCTGGGCTCCTCCACAGAGCAGCAGCTTCAGGTCATCTTTGAGGTGCTGGAAGAGTACGACTGGACATCTTTTGTAGCGGTGACCACGCGTGCCCCCGGCCACCGGGCCTTCCTGTCCTACATCGAGGTGCTGACTGATGGCAGCCTGGTGGGCTGGGAGCATCGTGGGGCCCTGACACTGGACCCTGGGGCAGGCGAGGCTGTCCTGGGCGCCCAGCTCCGCAGTGTCAGTGCACAGATCCGCCTGCTCTTCTGTGCCCGTGAGGAGGCTGAACCTGTGTTCCGGGCAGCTGAGGAGGCTGGCCTCACTGGACCTGGCTATGTCTGGTTCATGGTGGGACCCCAGCTGGCTGGAGGTGGGGGCTCTGGCGCCCCTGGGGAGCCTCTTCTTCTGCCAGGAGGTGCCCCGCTTCCCGCGGGGCTCTTTGCAGTGCGCTCAGCTGGCTGGCGTGATGACTTAGCCAGGCGTGTGGCGGCTGGTGTGGCTGTGGTGGCCAGAGGTGCCCAGGCCCTGCTGCGTGACTACGGCTTCCTGCCTGAGCTTGGCCATGACTGCCGCGCCCAGAACCGCACCCACCGCGGGGAGAGTCTCCACAGGTGAGTGGGGCTGGGATGGAAGGCCTGTGGGGAAGCTTCCGCAGCCTGACTACCTGTGGTGCTCACTAGCCGAGTGGCCTCCATGCAACCATGTGCCCTCTCTCAGATTCAGTGCCCTTTTCTATAAAATGGGTGTAACTGGGTCTCTTTTCTAGTATTAAATCAGGTAATTTGGAAATCACCTGATATACAGTGAGTGTATTACTATATTTTATGACTCTAAATGCCTAATTTTTCCCATTTTAATGTCTTTCAAATCAAGATATGTTTTATAATTGGTGGCTTATCATGGTTTAATTGGTAGTGTTTTCTTTGTGGTAGGTATAAAATAATAGTACATTTTACAATTGACAGCCTCTTAGATAGAATTAAATATCCTAGTTAGACTAGGAACTGAGCTCCAAACAAAAACGCCCAACCACCTCATGGCCCGTACAAGGAAGAAGTTTGTTCCTTTGTCAAGTCACAACCCAGAGATAAGCAGTCCAGTTATTAGTAGGCTGCTGCTCCATGTGATCATTCAGGGACTCAGGGTCCACCCTCCTTGCTGCTCTGGAATCTCCAAATAGTGCAAGCCAGATGGTGGGCATGAGTGCCAGGTAGAGCTCCCCAGAAGAGGGATGGAGCAAGTAGAGAGCAAACCATTTCCTTCCAAGTGAGGGGAAAGGAACAGGTCTCACATCCTGTTGTGAGAAGGTAGTCACATGGTCAGGACTGAGTTACCAGTTGTTTACAGCAAGGTCTATTCTGATAGGCTAGACATCCATTCTGATTGGTTAGTGCCTGTACTAACTCTTCTGTTTTGAATGTCATCTCTGCACATGGCCTAAGTTAGCTGCAAAGAAGGCTGAGCAATGTGGACTTTAGCTGGACGGCCATATGCCCATCTTACAGGTTATTGTTTCAGAAGAGGAGAACCGAGTTTGGTGGAAAACAGCATCTTCATCATGGGAAGAGTTGGGAGTGGGGAAACTGATATGTTAGGTGACAGAACAGTGAAGGAGAGGCCACTGATCTTTAAATGAGCTGAGTTTGGGAGGAGGTGGTGGGTGTGAAAGAAGACCTAAGGGAGGAGAATTGAGAAGAGGTGAGTTGGGAATCCGGATCTTGGAACAAGAGGGTGAGAAAAGCATCCCTTGTTCATAAATACTGAGCACCTGCTAGGAACTAGGGCTCATGCTGGGCACTGGGAACACAGAGATGAAAAAGACCATGGACTTCTTCAAAGAACGCAGGGTCCGGAAGGGGTGGCAGACAGGGATGGGAATAATGACAGCACAGCATGATGCTTGCAGTAATGGAGGTAGCACTGGCCTTGCGGGAGCATGGGGGAGGAGAACTGCCTAAGCCAGGACATTTTTGGTTGCAAGAAGCAGAGTCTCGTTTAAGTTTCCTTAGGGAAAAGGGGGTTTATTGGAAAGATAAACATGCATAGAAACACAGACATCAGGAATCGAGGCCAAGCCTGGGGCCAGCTATTCTTTCATCTCTTTCTGCTTCTTTGCTCCTGCCTCTCTTTTTCTTTCAGGCTTGTCTCTCCCAGAGGCTGTTGTGTTTTACCTAGCACTTCTCTCTCTCTCTCTCTCTCTCTCCCCCCCTTTTTTTTTTTTGTACTGGAGATTGAACTCGGGGGCTGTCTATCTCTGAGCTACATCCCCCCAGTCCTTTATATTTGGGGGACTTAGGGACTTGCTTAGTTGCTGAGGCTGTCCTCAAACTTGCCATCTTCCTGCCTCAGCCTCCTGATTTGTATGCACCACCATACCTGGCCTTTACCCAGAATTCTTCTCCCTCATAATTTTAGCCCTTCCTGGCCACCACCCAAACTTCCACATCCATAGTGAAATGTCATTGCAAGAGAGAAAATTAATTGCCCCCAGAGAACCTTCTAAACACACATCTGGGGTCAGTCTCTGGAGTCAGGGATGTTTCCAGGAGGAGGGGACACCTAACTGAGACCCAAAGGATGAACTGTTCATCCATCCATCCAATCATTCATTGAAAAGCTCTTTACTGAGAATCGACTATGTGCCAAACACCGTTTAAGCACAAAAGAATAGCGTGGTATAAACTGTTGTCTCTGCTGTCACCGAGACAAGCAGTGAACAAACAACAAAAGAAAATATCAGCAGATGATAATTTCTGAGATGAAAATAAATCAGAGGAAAAATGACAAGAACAGCCTAGGGAGCTAGGCTAAGTGGGGTGGTCAGGAAAGCCCTGAGTAAGTAAAATTTAGAGATTTTTAAAAATGGATAAAAACCCAAGCACTGGAAGATCTCAATGAAGAGAGAGGGAAGAGCAGATGCAAAGGACCTGGGGTTGGAACTGTTTGGGAGTTTAAAACACCAGTGTAGCTGAAGCACAGTGCACCAGAGGGAGAAATGGATGAACAGAGATGGACAGACACAGGGGCCCGACTCATGCAGATGCCTTTAGGCTGGGGGAGGAGTTTGGGCTCCATTCTAACGGTGGTCAGGGAGTTCACCAGACATGGAGTATTCCAGAGGGAAGAAACAGCATGTTCAAAGGTCTGGAAGGAGAGCAACTTGGGCAGATTGGTGAGGCCACACTAGTTCAGAGCAGTTGCAGCAGCAGGATTAGGGGCTGGGAGTGATGAGGCTGGAGATGTAGATGGGGCCAAGTCCTTGCCTTGGATGCCAGATTGGGAGGAGTCTGTTTCAAAGTTCTGCAGCCATAGGCAAGCCATGAGTAGGGGAAGGGGACTCAGTTTTGGGTATAGAAAGACCCCTTGGGGCCAGGTGAGATACAGACTAGAGGAGAGATCAGAGGCTGTAGGTCAGGCAGGATAAGGGGTAAGGATCCAGAAGGGTTGTGGGGGATGGAGGAGGGAATGGCTCAGGAAGGATAGGGCTTGGGAATTATGGCCTGGATGAAGGGACTGAGGGGGCAGCCCCTGTGATGAGAGTCTCGCCCAGTGACTGGATGGGTGATGGGAGAGGCCATCAGAGTTCAGTGAAGGGACAGACACTTGAGCTGTCTTTGTGACATGTCGGTTGGTCCAGGTGAGAGGGTGGTGGAAGGGTTTTCCAGACAGAGAACAGACCTGCAAATCCTAGAGAGCAAACCAGCCTGATGCAGTGGCACATGCCTGGAATCTCAAGTGACCCAGAAGGCAGAGGTAGGAAGATGGCAAGTTTGAGTCAAGAGGGTTATGGGGCTGCAGTTCAGGGGTGGAGTGACCCTGGTTCAATGCCTAGTACCAAAACCAAAACAAAAAGGAAATCGTTTGACATGTTCCAAAGACACTTTGCGTCCAGCGTTGATAGAGTGAAAAAGGGGTTTTGAGCTAGAAGCTATCGGAGATGGGGCTTCAGAGGCAGGTGGGGCCACCAAATTGAGGGTCTGGGACCCTGTTCTGAGGGCACCATCAGTCCAAGGAGAGGGTGTGATTTCAAGATTTTGGAGGTGAAGGAGGAGAGATTTCAATCACCAGCTGGGACTGGTGGGTAGGAGGCTTGGCCCAATCCTGGTGCCCTTCCTCCTGGGCAGGTACTTCATGAACATTACCTGGGATAACCGGGATTACTCCTTCAATGAGGATGGCTTCTTGGTGAACCCCTCCCTGGTGGTCATCTCTCTCACCAGAGACAGGACTTGGGAGGTGGTAAGTTGCATCCCAGAACTCAGGAGTGGGAGAAGTCCTGGAATCCTGGGTCCTGGCAGAGGGGGGTCCAAGGTCCTAGACTCTGAGGATTCAGGAGCTGGGGCCCAGCTTGCTGGGTCTGAGGAAGGAGGGCTTGGCCTAGACCCCTGGGTCTCAGGGAGGAAGACTGGGGCCTGGACCCTTGGTCTTAGGAGGGTTAGGGTCTGGATCTCTGGGTATGAGAGAGGAGGGCTGGGGCCTGGACAGGGAGAAAGGGGCTACCCTGTCCTGGAGGGAGATGGGGCTTACACTCTTAGACCTGAGAGAGGAAGAGCAGGGAGGCCAAGACATCCTGAAAAGTCACCCCAAGTAGTCTGACCATCCTTCTCTTTGACCCAGGTGGGCAGCTGGGAGCAGCAGACTCTCCGTCTCAAGTACCCGCTCTGGTCCCGCTATGGCCGCTTCCTGCAGCCAGTGGACGACACACAGCACCTCACGGTAGCGACACTGGAGGAGAGACCCTTTGTCATTGTGGAGCCTGCTGACCCCATCAGCGGCACTTGCATCAGAGACTCTGTCCCCTGCAGAAGCCAGCTCAACCGAACCCACAGGTGACATCCCGGGATCCAGGAGTTCCAGCTTGGCAAGTCTCCTCCCTCCAAGCCCTGCAGTCAGTCCCCGCTCCCAGCCCACAGAGCTCTCCAGCTTGGTACTTGAGCAAGCTGACAGGCTTCTTCAAGCCTCAGTGACCCCAGAAGGCGCCAGCCATAGTTTTAGCTGCTGCCTGTCCCTTGCTTCATACTCTCACCTAATGGGAGGGCCTAAGGGTGAGGAGTCCCCAACCTCCCAAGCCTGGTTGCTTCCCGCAGTCCTCCACCGGACGCCCCCCGCCCGGAAAAGCGATGCTGCAAGGGCTTCTGCATCGACATTTTGAAGAGGCTGGCGCACACCATAGGCTTCAGCTACGACCTCTACCTGGTCACTAACGGCAAGCACGGGAAGAAGATCGACGGCGTCTGGAACGGCATGATAGGGGAGGTGAGGGGACGGGGCGGGGCCAAGAGGCGGAACTCATATGGGGCGTGGCCTAAAGGAGGCGTGATCAGGCTCGGAAGGCGGGGCCTGGAGCTGGACCAAGAGCGGCCTCGCCTTCGTGGAGGGGCGGGGTCAGGAAGCTCGGGGGCGGGCCAAGAGGAGATAGCACGGGGGTGGGGACTGTCTGGGTCCGGGTCGGACTTTCGGAGCTGGAGGAGGCGGGGTAGGAGGGTGGAACCCCTAGGAGAGGGGGGCGGGGCCGGGAGGATGGAATCCAAAGCCTGAAGGGTCTTGGGGGCGGTGGGCCAGGGTGGGGGCTAGCGCTCCCTTCCTGTCCCCTTTCTCCTCCACTTTTCCCTGCCACACTCCGAGTCCTTTCTCAGCCTCCTCGCCATCCCTGCAGTCTCCCGGGGTCGTCTTTGTTTGCCTCGTCCCTAGTCCCTATCCGCCTGAGCGGGCTTAGCTTGCCCACCCCTCGCCCGCCCCAGGTGTTCTACCAGCGCGCGGACATGGCCATCGGTTCCCTCACCATCAACGAGGAGCGCTCCGAAATCGTGGACTTCTCCGTCCCCTTCGTGGAGACGGGCATCAGCGTCATGGTGGCGCGAAGCAATGGCACTGTGTCCCCCTCTGCCTTCCTAGGTGAGCTGGGTTCCCAGGATAGAGAGCCAGACCTAGGCAAGGCTGGAGCCCTGGGGTCACGAAACCTGGGTTCCTATCCTGGGACCATCTGTACTGTCTGTGTGACCCTGGTGAAGTGGCAGTCACTTCTGAGCCTCAGTTCCCTATCTGTAAAATGGGAGAAAGAATTTCCCCATATCAGGCTTCTGCCAGGAAGCTAGAATCCTAGCTCAGGAGCCTTTCCTTATAGCGGCCCTTCCTTATAGTGGCCTTTCCAAGGCTGGGAGCCCAGTTTTGTTTTTTGAGACCGGGTCTAGGTTGCCGAGGCTTTCCTCCAACTCTCCATCCTCCTGCCCCAGCCTTCCCAGTACGCTCAGCTCCCAGTTGTGTATTCAGAGTTGTATTCTTTTTTCTTTAAGAGAGACCTCCAAATTGTATATGCTTCAGGCCCCACAAAACCTGAGAATGGCACAGGTTCCTTTAGTCCCTCCTACTCAGAAGGTTGAGGTGGGAGGGTCACTTGAGCCCAACAGTTCAAGACCAGCCTGGGTAAAACAGGGACACTCTGTATCAAAAAAAAAAAAAAAAAAAAAAAAGCAAAACACTATAGTTTTTCCAGGTTTGTAGATGTGAGATGAAGAGGAAAGATTAGCTCCAGATACCCGTCAGTGTTATGGAGCACCTATATGTGCCAGGCCTTGGGCTTGATGGAAACGCAGTGGTGGACAAGACAGACAAGTCCTGGCCTGCCAGGAGCTCTGAGCCTCATGGGGAGACAAAATAAACTTCTAGGGATACACAGACAAGAGCACTTCGTGTGGTGGTAGATACCATGAAAAATGAAGCCAGGGTGAAGGAGGTGGGAGGAGCTGAGCCTGTGCTGGTGTGGGTGCAGAGGAGAGGCCAGGCCTGCAGGCAGCTGGCCAGGTGGGGGAAGAGCAGGGCCAGAGGTCGGGGTATACTTGTGAACCTGCCAGAGGCCTGTGTGACTGGAGGGGCTGCGAGGGTGGGTGAGGTGGAAGGAGTAGGCTGATGGGGAGGGGGCGAATCTCTCAGAGCCCTGGGCGCTATGGTAGGAGATGCGGGTTTCATGTACAGCAGAGGCGAGACTTCTCCTCCAGAAGGGAGCCCCCGGGGCTCTGCGGAAGCTAGAGGCTGGCAAGGAGGCTACTGCAAAAGTTCATCCAGAGAAAGGATGGAGGTGTGCAGCCGGGAGGTGGCAGGGGTGGGATAGGGGGACAGATTCAAGGTGTGGTTAGGAAGCTGCCTCCAGCTGGGCTGGTGGCTTTGTGGTAGACCAGGTAGAAATTCCATTTCCTGAGCTGGAGAAGACAGAAGTGTACACAGGCCTCTGATTTATTTTCCGTGTATTTTCCACACCCGAGTGTCCACAGGGTCCTCCTTGCACCAGGGTCTCTGCAGGGCTTACGGGGAGCACTGCGTGGGACCCCTGCCTCAAGCGGTACATAGCAGGGGAGTGACAAGGTCTCCTCCAGTTACCCAGCAGAGGCAACAGGCATGTCCCCAGATGCTGCAGTGACAGTCCAGGGTAGTGACCTTGCTGCAACAGGGACAGTCCTGGCAGCTCTACTCCGTTGGCCCTGAGAGGTGCACTTGATACTCATTGGCTCACTGTCAGTGAGCACCGGAGGCAACAGTTATGGAATGTAGGGAGGGGACACGTGAATGGGAGGCCAGCTGATGGACAGGTCAGGTGGCACCTCTGGCAGGGAGCTGAGGAGACAAGGCAGAGAGGCTGTGACTTGATGGGGCGGTGCTGTGAGCACCAGCTGGTCAAAGAAGGGTAACTGAGAGACGGAGCAGGCCAAAGAGGAGGGTGGGACAAGGCTGAGCCACAGGACAGTGTCCTGGGGGTGCTGGGGAGCTATGGGAGGCAACGAACAAGAGAGGGACAGGGTCATCTCTGGCCACGTTGGGGGTGGGCTGGAGCCAGACAGCCGGGGTTAGGAGGCCAGGGAGATGATGCCGGGAGGAGAGGAGGCCTGAGTTGTGTTGGCGTGAGAAGGGAGAGGACAGAAGTGACATCAGGGCAGGAGCAGGAGCAGGCTGTGCTTCAGGCTGTGGCAGCAGGAGGGGAGGGAGGGAGGGACGGAGGGCAGGCCATGGCAAAGGGGGACTGTTTGGTGTGGGACTCCCCAAATGGGAAGCCTGGAGCTGGCCTGGGCATTGCGTGGGACATGATAAGTGGCCTGGAGGGTGAGTGGAGGCGGGTGGGCTCAGGCAGCATCTAGGAGGGGTTGTGATGGCTGTTTGAGGGGCGCCCGCCTCCAGCGCTCAGTGTGAGCAGTGCACCTCGCCTGAGGAACAGAATGGAAGGGAACATGTGCACATGTCTGTGGTCCCCACAGTCCTTTGCCTGACAGAGACATGACCACACCTCCCTTGTCCCCAGAGCCCTACAGCCCCGCTGTGTGGGTGATGATGTTCGTCATGTGCCTCACTGTGGTCGCTGTCACCGTTTTCATCTTTGAGTACCTCAGTCCCGTAGGCTACAACCGCAGCCTGGCCACGGGCAAGCGTGAGTCCCCTCCCTCCGTTACCTTACCTGCCTTGACTGCACGCAATTAAGTTTCCCAGCAGCCCATGGGGTGGAACAAGGTCTTGGGGGGCATGCCCGAGGCCCTGGGGGCTTGTAGGTTTTTTATGCTCCCTCATTGAGCAGAAGGGACTTGGGGTCCATGAGCCTGTCCTGGCGCCCTGCAGGCCCTGGTGGCTCAACCTTCACCATTGGGAAATCCATCTGGCTGCTCTGGGCCCTGGTGTTCAATAACTCGGTGCCCGTGGAAAACCCCCGGGGAACCACCAGCAAAATCATGGTGCTGGTGTGGGCCTTCTTCGCCGTCATCTTCCTCGCCAGCTACACAGCCAACCTGGCCGCCTTCATGATCCAGGAAGAATACGTGGACACTGTGTCTGGACTCAGTGACCGCAAGGTGTGTGGGTGCAGAAGGGAGCCGTTGGGTTGGAGGGCAGAGTTGGCACAGCAGTGAGGAGTCCCAGGGAAATCTCTTCCCAAGGAGAATTTCAGAATGGCAGAATGGGATGTTTTGGAAGGAGAAAGGACATGTCTGTTCAATGGACTATTTAAGTCTTCCTGGGGAGGGTGTCTGTCCCCCAGTGTTCTAGGGGCAGTAGCACCGAATGGAATTTTCCAGAGCAGAGCATCTCTCAGACAATAGTGAAGGACTAGGGTTTGAAACTTCTAATCCATCGGAGGCAATGCTTTTGTAAAATACAATAGCAACGGATTACTAGGAAAGTAAAATAAAATTTAAAACCCAGACATTCTAGCTAGGCACAGTGGCACTCGGGAGGCTGAGGCCAGAGGATAGACAGTTCAAAGCCAGCCTCAGCAACTTAGCAAGGTCCTAAGCAACTCAGTGAGACCCTGTCTCTAAATAAAATATAAAAAAAGGGCTGGGGACATGGCTCAATGGTTAAGCGCCCCCAGGTTCAAATCCCTGGTACCAAAAATAAATAAATAAATAAAATGAAAATAAATAAAACCAAGACATTCTAAAGTTAACCCCAGATTTTTATGTATTAGAATCAATAGACAAAAATTATTTTGTCAATTCACTCCAAATGGTCTCTTGATGCTGCACTTACCTCACTGTAGCCACAGTGTGACCGGGGACAGGCAGTCTGCAGGGCACACTTTAAGACCAAGGTGGTTAACCGGTGTCACGACCTATTAGAAGGTTGATAAATCAACTCTAAGCATTTTCCCCCAGCGGAATGGACTAGAATAGCATAGGAGAATGTGTTGACTCTACCTTATGTCGCAAAGGGGAATATGGTTTTATGAAACTTTTAGTCATAAACACACCTGCCATTGAGCCAGCCCACACCCATCTGGCTACATCTGTTGTTAAAACAGTAAAAATTTTCTGAATAGATTGGTAAATAGCAACTGCCCTCAGCCCCAGCACTGGGACTACCCCTGATCCAGCAAGTTAAGGGTTAATGCCTGGCACATCAGGGACCTCTGGAAGCTTCTAGCTTCTCAAACTCTCTGGCCAGTGGCCTCAGTTTACCTGTCTGCAGCCATGCTTGCTGGACAGGACTGAGACCGTGTTACCTGCTGTGGTGAGCAAATCTGAAAAACGCTTCTGAGTCTGGGGTATTTGCCAATTGGCAGGTGTCCCCCAGAATGGGGCACTTGGGTTGGGGATGTCCCTGGGTAGGGGGCATCCTAATAACTCTGCATTCTGCCCCAGTTCCAGCGGCCACAGGAGCAGTACCCACCCTTGAAATTTGGGACCGTGCCTAACGGGTCCACGGAGAAGAATATCCGCAGCAACTATCCCGACATGCACAGCTACATGGTGCGCTACAACCAGCCCCGCGTGGAAGAAGCACTCACGCAGCTCAAGGCAGGGTCAGCTCAGACTGGGGCTGGGGCAGGGAGCGGGGCTGGGAATGCTCAGAGATGCCTGGGGTCAGGGCTCACTCATCAGTCAGACTGGGTGGGCCAACTTGGAGGGCGGAGGTCTTGGAGGGTCCCTACGGACTCCCTCTTCTAGGAGGGTTCCTGGGATGTTTTCTGAAATGCAGTATTATGGATTCTAGGACCCAACTCCTGGGACTCAAATCTTGGTTCTACCCTTTCTTTGACTCTGTGATCTTGGGCAACTTACTCAACCTCTCTGAACCTGTTTCCTCCTCTGTAAAATACAGATAACAAGAGCATCCCCATTATGACAACCATTAGGTCATTGTAAGTTAGTTAATCCATGCAGAACCCTGTCCCGCATCCAATAGGTGTTTGCTGATACCATCATTGTTATCATCATCATTAGATCTGAACAACAGAAGCCATACTTGGGTTGTTATTTTTAATCATCTTTACATCAGTTTCCCACATGATACAGTTAAATTCAGTCCCTGAAGTACAGCCCACAAGCACAACAAAGCTGAGTGCCGGCCAGGTGTGACGTCACCCATCCAGTCCCAGCTCCTTGGGAGGACGCCAGAGGAATGCAGGTTCCAGGCCAGCCTGGGCGACTTAGCGAAGCCTGTCTCAAAAAAATAAATAACAAAAAGGGCTAGGGATACAGCTCAGGGTTAGAGCACTTGGCAGCATGGGCGAGGCCCTGGGTTCAATCTCCAGTACTACTACTAAAAAAAAAAAAAAAAAAAAAAAATAAAAAGCGCTGAGAGAACAGCAACTTGTCCCTGTCCCTGTCCCTATCCCTTAAGTATTTAGCCTTTCAACATGCATTGTTAAAAAATTTTTAGAGTTTGAACCCAGGGGTGCTCTGCCGTCAAACTATATCCCCAGTCCTTTTTATTTTTTATTTTGAAACAGGGCCTCCCTGAGTTGCTGAAGCTGGCCTTGAATTTGCCATCCTCCTGCCTCAGCCTCCCAAGTCACTGGGATCACAGGCATAGCCACTGAGCCCTCATAGCAGGCATTTATTTTCTTACCCCACCTATGCCAGTCAGTGAGCGGCAATTCCTGCCCTCAGGGGGCTTAACATCTAGAGGTAGGAAACAAACATTAAATAAGCAAACAGAAGAATGGAGGGGGTGCATCCCGATGCTTTCAGAAGGGAAGGGTGCAGCATGGCTGGGTGGGAATAGTTTTACCTGATGTTCAGGGAGGGCTTCTCAGAGGAGGTGGCATTTGAGCAGAATGCTGAAGGAGGGAAGGGGGCCATCAGGGTGGACCTGAATTTGAATAGGGAAGGACAAGATCTGATTTTCTCTAAATTGTCTGCTCCCGTGTGGAAAATGGACAGAGGGGACCCTAAGTAAGTGGGGAAACCATCACGGCATCTAGAATCTTCCCTGAGGCCCATCCTCTGCTCACCCCTCAGGTAGCCGGTCCTGACTGCATCTTTGTTACCCTTCTGTCTTGATTAGAACTGGGGCTGCAAGAAAAGGAACCAGCCAATGCATGTTCAGTAAAAGGGGCGGCTCAGCACAAAGCTCAGGTGGTCTCGGAACCAGTCTTCAGCAGAGAAGGCAGCCATTCATTTAGAACTTAACAAAGAGACCAACTCTGCGCCAGGTACAGTTCCTGGATCACAATAGACAACAGCAAAATAAGGAGCTTCCCAGATGGGTCACGAGTTTTCTTTTCGTTTTTCTTTTTTTTTTTTTTAATAAATGTTTTAGTTGTCCATGGACCTTTATATTATCTACTTCTTTTTATGTGGCTCTGCCACTGAGCCATAACCCAAGCCTTGGTCAGGAGTTTCGAAACAGACAGAGGTTTCTTTCTCCTGCTACCAGGGCAGCAGGGTAGCTCAAAGAGATGGCCAACAGGCTGAACTCTTCCTCTTTTTTTGTTCTCCCAACCTTGCAGCATAGACCTTCATGCTCTTTTTGATTGTCTCATGGTCTCAAGAAGGCTGCTGCCCCTACCTGGGGCACATCCTACCTAATTCCAGGCAAGGAAGAGAAAAGGTGAAAGACAGGAGGTTTTGCTTCTGGGAAGGCTTTGCTTTTATGTTGGGGAAGCTGATCACGAGGACTTCTGGCTATTTCCCAGAACCTATCAGATGGCCATTGCTTGCTGCCAGGGAAGCTGGGAAGTTAACTGTGTTAGCCACCCAGCCTCTCTTGTAGAAAATGGTGGAGGGAGGAGGTCAGAAATGGAGACATGAACCCAGCCTGTGTGGAGTTTGCGTTTTGCCACCAAGCAAGTTCTCTCTTGCACTTTTCTTCTCAACCTTTCTCTTAATTTCTGGGAGTCACATGGGTTCTTGGCTCCTAAACTCTGCCTGTCTGCTCTGTGCAAACCTGCAAGCCTCTTCAGTTCCGATACTAACTTCAGTTCCAGCGGCGGGAGGGGGGGTGCTGGGGTTTGAACCCATGGCCTTGTGCATGTGAGTTGAGCACTCTGCCAGCTGAGCTGTACCCCAGCCCAGCGCTTTCTCTCCAGGCTTCTCTTCATCACACCTGCAGCCCCACTTCAGCCCTTTAGGGCATCCCTTTCTTCTTGTCCTTCCCTCTTGAAGGTCCGTTGACAAGACGTTGTTGGGGACAGACTTTTCTTTGTTACTAAGGCTTTGGGAGATGCACTGCAAACCTTTCTAGGGCCTGGTCAAGAGTACAATGGAGACTGGATCCATATGTAACTATTTAAACCTTGTGAATCAAGCTAGTATTGAGGCCTCCTGCCTGGACACATATACCTTCTTAACCATCAGAAAAGCTACTAAGTTCCAGTTTAGCCTGGATCAGCTGGTGCAGTGGTGCTCATCTGTAATCCTAGGGAGGCCAAGGCAGGAGGATCACAAGTGCGAAGCCAGCCTGGGCAACTTGGTGAGGCTATCTCAAAATTTATAATAAAAAAGGCTGAGTTGCGGTGCACCCCCTGGTTTCCATCCCCAGTTTGATTGTCAAAGAAGAAGAAAAAAAAGAAAGTCTCTCAGGGTCGCAGGAGAGAACCTGACTCACTGTCTTTCCACTGCATCGTAGTCCCTGCCTTTCCTGGCTGCCTGCACTCTTGGCTCATGGCCCCAAATCATTCTGACCTCCTTTTGCATCAGCTCATCTCCTCCTCTGACCAACCCTCTTGCCCTCCTCTTCTAAGGTCCCACATGACTGCCTGGGCCACCCATATGGTGCAGGATAAGCTCCCTACCTCAGGATCCTTCACTGCTCCATCTGCGAAGTGTCTTGCCATGTGAAGTAATATATTCAGAGGTTCCAGGTACTAGAGAGTGGATACCTTTGTGGGGGGCACCATTCCATCTACCACACCTTCCCAGGGCATATTCTTGAAGTGAGGTGTGGATCCTGGGTGGGCACCGCCCCCAGGGCAAGTCTTCAAAAAAAGGAACCCAGGCCAGGTGCAGAGGCACCCACCAGTAATCCCAGCAACTCAAAAGACTGAGGCAAGAGGATCACAAGTCTGAGGCCTGCTCAGCGACTAAGGGAGGCTCTAAGCAACTTAGTGAGACTGACTCAAAATAAAATAAAAACATCTGGGTTCAATCCCCCCATACGTGGAGAAAAAAAAAAAAGAACCCAGAACATCACCCCCCTTTCCCCAAATTCTCAGGGAAGTATAGTGTAGGGAATCAGGTATCAAAACACAGCACAGAATGAGGAAAAAGTTTTTTTCCATAGTGCATCCATCCATTCATTCGCCAAGTACTCGTGGAGAGCCTCTGATGTGTCAGGCGCTCTGCCAGACGCCTGCCTCCCGTAGACTTGAAGCTTCTGCTGGAGTGGGGTAGGCTGCACACCCACAGATGTCTAAAACCCTAGGCCTCTAAAGTGCCTCAGCGTCGAGCCTCTGGTCACAGGAACTTTCTCTCTGGCCATCTTCCTCCGCAGCTGTGCTTGCTTCCATGTTGCTCCCAGCGGCTTCCTTTCTCCCTGGAGACCGCATTCCTACACCTTCCCTGTTCAGCGCTCCTCCAAGGCCCCGCAGTATCCTGGGGCCACCTAACAGCAGTGGTTTCAGAACCAGGTAGTCCTGGGTTTGAAAGAGCTATCCCCCTTACTTGCTGCCGACCCTGGAGCACACAGTTCAGGTCCTGAACATTAATTTCTGCCACCATAAAACGGGTCAAGGATCCCTCGCGGGGGTCAAGCGGCTCTGGGAAACCAGTTCAACTTCACGTTCCCACCACGAAGGTTCTGATTGGTCCAGCTAGAGTCAGGTGCCCTCATCAGGCCCAATCAGCAACACCCAGGGTGGACCTGGTCACGTGGTTGTCGCGTTGCCCTTCCCACATCAGGGCAGGTTCTCCCAGGTGTGCGGCCCATAATTTTCGTAATATATTTTATTTACTCCAGTATTTTCAAAATGTCATCATTTCAACGTGCAACTGATATGAACATTGAGATGATGTTGGTGGCGGGTGCGTTCCGTATGTATTTTATGCTCAAGGCCCACTTCAACTTGGACTTACCATAGTGCAGGTGCTCAATAGCTCCATCTGGTCTGTGGCTGTCATGTTGGACAGTACCCATTTAGAATTGTTTTTTTCTCTTTATTTTCCTTCCTCTTCTCATCTCCCCCACCCTCTCTTGCTCTTTCTCTTACTTGTACTTCTTCCTCTTTCCTTCCTTTTCCTTCCCCAACCTCAGATTTCATCCAAAGCTTTTCCAAGCTCCTCAGGGCCTATATAACATTGTCTCCAGTGCCCGCTTCTGGGAATTCTGTAAGTTCCAGGGTTTCTCAGGTTCACCCTGGCTTTAAGCTCCTCTTTGCTGATTTAATTCACTTCCTTGGACCATCTGATTGGTCCTAGTGTGTCATCCCAAGTTCAGAGTCTATGAACCAGAACTGGAACCCAGAAGGCCTCCACTGTGTGTGGTGGGGAGATGGGGAGGGGCCTGAAGACTGGCCAAGCTCTGCCAACACTGGCCAATAGATATGCCACGAGCCTCGGGTAGTGCTGTTTTCCAGTGGCC